GTGCGTGCGTGCCCAAGATCCCGAGAGGAGAATGGAGGAGAAGGGATTGCAGTGTGACCATCCCCCCAGGGGGTGATTTCTCACTTTCTATCTCTGTGTCTCTCTCTGTCTGTCTGGCGAGTGCATGCACCCTATAGCAAAAACCTCTCAAAAAAATATATGTATATAAATTTTAAATCATTTATTGAAAAAAAGTAAAGTAGACAACCTTTTGAAAAGTTTAACTGAGGACAAGGGACCCATTTACAAAAAAGCATCAGAAGCAGAATGGCTAAGTAGACACTTGTAGTATTTACCTTAGTATTTATGTTGTATGTACAATTTTATACAAATACATTTGGAAGAAGGAGGACCAAGGAATAATAGCCACCTTTATTGTGTGTTGTCCTTAGCGCTGCCCATGGATTATGTTGTTTAACACTCACATTCCTATGTGATAGGCACTGTTACCGTATCCGTCTTACAAGTGAGGAAGCTGAGCCTCAATGAACTTGAGTAATTTGTTCAAGTTCAAAGCCAATAAGTGCTGGGGTTGGAATCTGGGTCCATGTGGGCTGATGGCAGAACTTAGACTTTTAATCAGCCTCTCTTCACTGACAGCTGTCAAGGAAAATGGTCAAATGAACACCACTGGCCTAGCTGCGGTGGCACAGAGGGTAGGGTGCTGCTCTGCCATGCTGGAGGCACGGGGAAGGCACAGTCTGGGTATCAGGTCGACCTGAACATGCATGGCTTGCACGTGAGCACACCCATGATACTGGCTGGCCAGGAGGGTGGGATAGGGGATTGCGACATGAAGACCTGCTGACCCTGCCTGTTTCATTTTTTTCTCTCACTGTCTCCTCAAGAGATAAATAAGCTTTAAAAACAAAGAAAAGAAAAAAAATCTCCACCTTTTTTTTTCTTTTTTGTTGTATGACATTTGTTGTAATTCTGTACTTCTAGGTCATCAAGACCTTTTATCTTATTTATCCCAATTTCCTCAAAGCACAGTGTATTCAAAGTTCATTGATAATAAAACTAAATGAATAGCATTCTTCTTCCCCTCTTTCTCCTTTTTCTGACTCCCTGGCAGAAGGAACTGAGAAGAGAAATGAGCATACTGACCCTATGTTGTGTAATTGTTCAACACCCGTCTCTATATGGTAAAAAATCTATCACTCTGAAACCTCTGCTTTATGAGTCAGGAAACTGGTGAAGTGTAGGTGCAAAGTAACATAAAATTTGTTTGCAAACATTAAAGAGTACGCATTCTAACAAAATCTGTTCCGTTCATCAAACAATTGACTAAGCATGCATTCAAAAGACATTTTCTTTGATGCAGTTCTGATTTTCTTTAGAGCTCAAATGTACTGTGAGAGAGAAAGGGATTTCAGCCAGGCTGCAAGATGTACGTAAGAGTGCAGCACTTTACCGTGGCTGTGCTGTGTCACAGGAGCCTCCACAGCCCTTCCGGGGCTGTAAGATTTGCAGGACCCAAGATGCCCTGTAGTAAAAGCCCTACTCTATGAGGAGGAATGCTTGAAGGAGGCAGAGGGGACACCAAATATAACATGTGGAGTGACCTTACAAGTTCAAAAAGCTAAATTTGCTCCGAAGTGTAACATTTTCAAGCATGTAGGCAGTAGGGCCTTGCCCCTGTTCCCCTCAGCAACTGTAACAGGCATTTAGGAAGGGAGACCTCATCCAGAGCATCCACTAAGCATCCATATGGGAGCAGACCCATAGTTACCAACTGTTGTGAGTCTGGTTAGAGATTTCATTAGCTCTGTGATTCCTATCGGAATACCTGGGGTACCAGTGAACTGAGTCAGGCATGCCCACCGAATTGAAATCTCTGTGGATGAAGACTATAAATCTGCACTTTCACAGAGTTTCCAATTGAGTAACTAATTTTCCCCAAGTTGTTTTTAAAATCTTAAACAGTATATGGTAAAGTGTAATCGACAAACTGGACATATATAAAATGCACAATCGATAAGTTCTGACACATGTACTTGTGAAATCTTCACCACGACCAAGATAATGTACATATGCATCACCCCTAAAATTTTCCTGTGCCCCTTTGCAGTCTGTCCTTCCTACCCCTCCCATCTCCCACCCTCCCCAATCAACCACTGATCTGCTTTCTGTCACTACAGATTAGTTTGAATTTGGGGGAGTCTTTTATAAATGAAATTATCTGGGGACAATCTATTCATAAACTTAAGACTACTGTAAAAGGAAAACCTAAACTTAGGAAGTTTTTGGACAGTGGAAGGTGATGTGTGTGACAGAAATGAAGTTGTTATGTATATTTTCTCTATGATACTTTTCTCCTCAATAATTAGAGGAGGATTGTATGAATTCATTTTTGTGTCACTACTAAAACATAGCATGTCTTAAACAGAAAGTATTTATTTTTAAACTAACTGAAACTAAAATTTTAATAATGTTCCATTTTTATGGTCAGTAAAAAGCTACCTGTTGAACTCAAAGTTGTTTCAGTTGGTTTTTGTTGCTTTTGTTTTGTACCTTGTTGCAGAGCATATCGGATTGGCCAATGCAGAGATGTCAAAGTGCTCAGGCTGATATCCTTGGGAACTGTGGAAGAGATCATGTATTTACGACAAGTGTACAAGCAAGTAAATGCATTTCTCTCTTTCTAGTTAAGAAGTGAACAGTTGTCAGTTCTTTAAAATTAGGAGTAAAATGGACCCGCAGGTGGCATGGAGGTATAGGTGGTTAGATTCCTACATAGCCAACTCTGTGGTGCAAGTCCTGGACCCAGCAGCTAGAAAATCATGCCAGATGCCTGTGTGCGCATGCCCAAAGTCCAGAGAGAAGAAGGGATTGTGGCAGGGCTATGCCTGTGAGGCGCCTTCTCACTTTCCTTCCCTCTCTCTGTGTCTCTCCAGAAAGCACCCTATAGTAAAACTTAAAAAAAAAAAAATTAGGAACAAATTTGTGTAAAAATAAGAATTGTTGACTCCCACTTATAGTATAGAATTTAATAACATTATGCAATATATTCTTCAATACGTTTCTATGAAAGTCTTTTTTTTTAAGAAATATTTTAATTAACTTTATTCATTTATTTTAATTTGACCCGGGAGGGACAGAGTGAGAGAAAGTGAGAGAGAGGGAAAGTGAGAAAAGCAAGCTGCCAGGTCCAGGACTCGAACCATAGTTGCCCATGTGGGAGTCCAGCGCCCTTAACCACCACATCACCTGCCAGCCTCCCAGAGTCATTCTTAAGTTCATTGAATTTTAGAGCTGAAGGTTTCTTAGAGCAGTACTTAAACTTTAATGTACACACGAATCCCCTAGAGATCTTGTTAAAATACAATCATGATTTAGTAGGTCTGGGGTGGAGCCCAAGATTTTGCATTTTTAACTATCTCACAGGAGTGCCAGTTCTGCTAGTCTGCAGATCACAATTTGAGCAGTATGGTCACAGCCTCACACTATGGGTCGAGGAATAAAGGTATGCCATAAATGGGTTACAGGTGCCCTGAGACCTTCATCCCTCAGCTCTGGGCGGCAGGAGAACCTAAGCCAGCTTTCAGCCTTGAATAACCTCCCCTGTTAACTCCAGGTAGATGTTCATATGTTACCATTTTCTGTATGTGCCGTGACATGAAGAAGATGGAGAACACTGCCTTGGGAACCCTGTACATAATGAAATGGACCCCAGAGACACCCAGTAAATGAAATGATAGGAATAGAACTCGAGTCAGCTAACTACTGTGCTGCTGTTTTTAGTATTCATCGAAAATTGCATTAACTCTTTAATATGCTCAGGATATCCATTACTGCTCCATTTATGCCTCTAAATAAACAACGCTTATTTAGTTTATAATTGCTCACTTGAGAAGATCTGGAATGAGGTTTGAATTTAATTGTAAAAGTTAAATCTGAATTGCTCCCTATATATTCAGTTGGCATCTCTTTAAGACAAACATCTGCCACATGTGGTGATAGTTAACCTACGAATGATCCAATTTTAAATTTATGCAGTTTTCTTCATTCTAAAAATAGAATTGTATATAGCAGTTTTTGTTTTCTCTTAAAGCATTTAGCTCTGTAAGAAACGATTCATCCTTTTGTTCTTTGGTATGGCATAACCACTTAAAAATTACTTTTTCAAACCAACTTAACCAATCTTGGGAAAAAAAATACAATATTATTTTTTTCATCTACAGAGCTGTTCTTTCAAATATTTTTTTTCTTTTAAATATTATCTGAGATGTATCACAAGGAAGATTCTTTCCTCAATCGTGTAATTTATCTTAAGCTATTAACATATACATTTATTTTTTAATAATTATTTATTTTATTTGTTGTTATTATTTGTTGTTAAATTTGCTATAGGGCACATAGATTCACCAGAGAGAGACAGAGAAAGTGTGAGAGAGAGAAAGGGAAAAAACAAGCCGCAAGGTCTGGGACTTGAACCGTGGTCAACCGTGTGGAAGTCCAGCACCTTAACTACCACTCCACCTGCCAGCTCCCTACATTTCATTTTTTAATCTATTTACTTGATTAATTTAATGAAATAAAATGGCCTATCATATATCATTTTTTATAAAATGCAATAAAAAAGACTTCAGAAGATGAGGACTTTTGGTTCAGGACTCTGACACAACTAAAGATCTGATAGCAATTGTGTAAGAAAAAGGCATTAGAGGTGGTCTAAGAGGGTTTGGCATTTGAATCACCAGTGTATATGGAGCAACACTTCAGCCACCCAAGGGCTTTTCAAATCTTTTGAGGGAAAAGAGAATCCCAAATGATGGTTTTTCAAAGAAAAAAACCTATAGAAGTGTTGGAAAGCAAGAAGAGTTCTCACAGTGCCCCAGAAATAAGGGACCCTGAAAGACAAAAGGCAGGTGGACGCAGATTGAAGAAACCAAGCTAAACGCACTCAGGACAAGAGTACTTAAAAAGGTAGATTTCAGGCCAGGAATGGTGTAGTGGTTGAGGCACTGGATTCCCACGTGGCCAACCATGGTTTGAGTCATGGACCTAGTGGCTTGAGTGTCACACAGTGCATATGTGGGTGTGTCCCCAATAACCCTGGGGAGAGGAGAGAGGGTTGTGATGTGATCATCCCCCTGGGGGGGGTGGGGCGTTATTTCTCATGTTTTTTTCTCTCCAGTGAACACACATGCCCTATGGAAAAAAAGAAAAGAAAAAAGTAGGTGCGATTTCTGGCTATTCTAAGCTTAGTAGAGTTAGCAGATACTAAAGAAGGGAGCATGTAGGTCATCGTGGTGCCCTCTATGGAGTATCATCAATGATGTCACAAGGTGGTTTGACCCATGCGATCTCACTGCAGCCAACAGAGTATCTACTCTCAAGTAGGAAAATAAATACCGAAAGCAAAGAAGCAAGCAAAATATCGTATTTTGGGTGATATTTATTAAAAACAATCCTCTCCCCCATTGCCCAGAAGACTAAAGACTTGTACCCCCTACCCTTAGTTCAAATAACCACTGCAGT